GCAGAGTGTATCATATATCTGTAAACTTGTATTTGTATCAAAAGATATAAGTTGATTTGGGAAAAAAGTTTGGTTGGAACTAAATGTTTTGTATCACCTCCAATTTAAAAAAGAAGAGATGCAGAGAAAGATAGCTATAAAAGATCTAATGTCTTTGTTGCTCTTGAGAGTTATTCATTTGAATTACCACGTACACAAATTATCACGTGAGAATATATACTTTCTTTGTATTCTACGTCTACCATGTTGCATAAGAAGTTAGTGCACTAGTGCTCTGTCATCTTCAACATAAACTATAGACATTGGCTTGAAATTCAATCTGTGTCCTTTTACTTGGAGCATGACCGTACTCTTGCACTTAAAAATACTCTTTCACTTCACAATTCCAAGCACAAACCTAAACTCATTGAATTATTTAAAGGGTGAATGTGTTTAACTGCAATCACGATGGGTTTAACTTGGATGCCCAATTTCATGTGACCCAACCAGAGAGAAGAGATGTGAATATGCAAATTGATATTGGAACTGTAACTTTAAATAGAATCCAAAGTACAAACATTCAATTGGAATTGCATACCTAATCATAATTCACCCACTCAATCCTAGTGGATTATTTCAGCTTTTATAATTGATTACTTGGTTGAACATAATATATGAAAAAGTAATATAAATGATTATAATATTTTATTAATATTGATTATTTTTAGGTTGCAATATTTAAAAAAAAAATACCAAAACTCAATATTAAATTGCATTATTTATTTTAATATTTTTTAATATTTTTTAAATTTAAAAATAATTATCTCTAATTTAATTATATATTTTTAATTTATTATATGAAAACATATAAAAAGAACTACACTATTTTCTTTAAATGATTTCTACAGTTTAATATTATCAATAAAGTATTATAAAAATATGAAATATAATATATATATATATATATACATATATAATATTAAAAATTTATTTGTAATTCATATAAAATAATTTTAATTTATTTTATCTATTTTATTAAATAATTATTTTTATTAGATCATAAGTCAAATTTAATTTATATTTATTTTTTAAAATTTTAGTAGAAAAGTTAATCATTTATTTTATTATTTAATTTTTTTTAATCAGTCAAATTAATATTATCAATTATCATTTTTAATTTTTTTACATTTTATTTTCTTTTTCTTCATTTTAAACAATCTCAATTTCTTTGTTATTTTTTTTCAAATTCATCCTTGAATCCAAAATAAGTAATTTTTCAACGGCAAATAACTAAGACCTAAGTATTGCTGGTGTTGGAAATCAACAAGCAAGTTTTGCCGACAGCACCATCACCAACGGTGACGCAGTTTATGAACCTCGACGCACTCATTTCAGATGAAGGACGCAGACAACAATGTGTCTGAACTTGAAACAGAGAAACCAGGTTCAGCGCAGTATGAACCCCGATCGGTATATGAAGAGAAATTGAATTGAATTGAAAAGAAATAATAATAATAATAATAAAAAGGTTAGATACACGGACTTAATTTTCTGTGATTGTATCACAGCACAGCACAAAGACCATTTGGCAGTTAGTATTTGAATTTAATGATAATTATTGCATTAATATATCTCAGCAAATTATTATGGTCAAAACTTTTCCTGTCAACTTTCAATCTTATTAAATGATACGATTTCAACATAAATTTTTATACTTTGTTTGCGAACAAGTATTTTAACAAAAAAAATATTGAGGAAAAAACATTAGATGGACCAGTGTCGTATTAAAAAAGTGGTATCTGCATGAGTCGTAGCATTTTTTTTTTAATGAAATAATCAGAATCTAGGCCTGAACTCACTATTTTTGTTCCCCCTTCTATTTTTCAAACAAGGTGGGTATGTAGAAAGTCAGAGGAAGAGTGTAGAAATATAAAGAAATAGAAAAGCACGAAAAAAAAGGTGCAACTTTCCGTCTTGTAATTTTATTTTATTTTTCTGCAGAAACTTTCCGTCTTGTATCAGAAGACAGAGAATTTTTCAGTTGAGAAAATTATCTTTTCGAAAAATTGGGCGCCACAGCCATCTGAATTAATATTTTGAAATTAATTGGTTTAGAAAATAAAGTAATAAATAATATTATTGTTATATTTTCTTTTCAATTTCAATTAATTGTTGAAAAGTAAGTTGCTTATAAAACAGATAGAAATTTGGAACATTAACTAAAACTTAATATATCTTTAAAAATAATGTTGTTTGTATGAATTTAAGGATTTTAAATTTACGAGCTCTTAATTTTATTCTTTCAAGTTTCATATGTAGTTTTATTTATATAAAACTGACTTTTTAGTTACATTAAAAAAATATTATAATAATTATAATTTATTGTTAAAATACTCTCAAGGTAAAAAAAGAACATAATATGTTAAGAATACATATGTAAGCATTTATTGTGTTACAGTAAAAGCTAATAAATGAAATTTCTCTATCTATAATGGATCAAAAGCATAATTTTTTTCCGGTTTTATAACATTGAGAGTTAAAACATGTTTAAAAGTTACATCTTTCTCCAGTGTAATAAATTATATTTCAGCATATGTATGCCTCATAATTGTGTGTAACTTATTTAACTAACATTATACACAAGCTTAAGATACAAATTGTTTTATAAATTTTTCAAATTTGTGTGAAAGGTTTCTTATGTGGTTCTGCATAATATTTGAAAAATTGATCTCTATTTTATACCCATTTCTCTTCAATTTTTGTCTATTCTTCGGCATTTGGTGCCTACCAAACACATATTTACATTTCCTTTTGATGGGAAAGTTTCTTCAGCAGAACTGTACTTAGGGGTTTGCTTCTAGGGAGAAGAAAATACAACCTTTTCTGACTTATTTTGTCCTCTATGAACAATGTTTTGTCGTAGTTGTTAGGCAAATTGTAGGTGATGTGGTGAGAGAAGTTCTTATATTTATTCAGATTGTAATGAGGGATGGTACTGAAGTGGTCCTGTAACTTCACATTATATTAATGGCGTCCAACGAGTTATCAATATTTTAGTTGTAATTGGACAATATTAAAAAGCAAAAAAAGTTATCTGCTGAACTATCGGCAGAGAAATACATGGTTCTACCAAATTTAAATGCACTCGCGCAGAAGTGACGTGTTGTAGAAGGAAAATGGGAAATTGCTATGCCCAAAAAAACATACACCTAATCCCAGCGCTTAACACACGTACATGAAATTAATTAAAAGGCTTAACTAGGCTGTTTCAACTTCTGTAATGTAAAAAAAATAAATGCTTATTTTAAGCAAAGTAAAATTTATAATAAATGAAAATATTCGATTTAACTACAGATTTAAAAAAAATTATCATTTAAACTGAAAATTTAATAAATGCTTATTTTAAGCAAAGTAAAATTTATAATAAATGAAAATATTCGATTTAACTACAGATTTTTAAAATTTATTTTTTATCATTTAAACTGAAAATTTATATTTTAATGTGTTATTCTTACCAAAATGAGAAGCATAATAATGTAATAACAAAAAGTTTTACAATAAAATTTATATAAGATCTTATTTAAATGTCAAATTAATCCTATCAAGTTGCGAGGAACTAGAATCAACTTGATTGAAATAATGATGGAACAATGGGGTGAAGAATTTATACAGATATTGCAATACTTAAATTAATATTTGTATAATATTTATAAAAAAAAGTCAGTTTTAACACCTTACATAATTTTTAACTTACTGAGATCGTATAAAAATTTTAAAAATCATAACCAAATCTTATATTAATTAATAATGATTTTATGTATTTAATATATAACTGAATAATTAATACATTTAATTGAGACAATAATACATTCAATCATTATTTTATGGAAACTGTTTTAGTTTTCGAAAAAACGGATAAGTACATATGTAATTAAAAAAATAACATTTAAACCTTTATATATATATATATATATATATATATATATATATATATATATATATATATATATATATATACAGGTCTTAATTATAAACGAAGTAAGAATAAATACTCTTTATAAAAAAAAATTAAATAACATGTTTGATGTTAAAATACAAAATTTAAATAAATTATTATGTACATGACTTGCAATTCAATGGTCACGTAAGTGACAATCATTCAGTATTTACAACAACGCAGTCAAAACTTCTTTTTTCAAATTTAGGAATTAAAAGGAAGTGAGTTCAAACATTTAATATTGTACACACGTGTTTCTAGAATAAATATGATATAGTTAAAATTGAAAAAAACAAAACAAAAAAAGAGAGTATACATTATCAAATCTTATATAGTTCAAAAAAAAGGTTATTATCCATCAAGAATTTGAATTTGAGCTCAGTTTGAATTTGAAACCGAATCCCCGATAGTTGACTAATAACCTTTATCCTTTATTTGAATACAATATCAAGAAATTTCAGAAGTTAGGATCTTTGCAGTTAAAAATGTAACGGCAGGATCTGGATCCACATATACAATAACACGTACAAATACGTAAATATTTAAATGGAACATCCCATGGTATAAATTGGAACTTATCCTTCAATCAGAAACCAAATCATAAGCGTTAAAACTTAAAAAGTGCGACAGCTGTCGAAAACCATTAAATAAATCCATAGAAGACATCACAAAGGCCATAAGAATATGACCGCATTCACAAAGCAAGCAGTATTTTCGTAGGCTACTAACATATAAAAATAATAACAACAACAATAATGGAAAGAAATAGGTCGTCACTGAGCTATGTAATTGAGGTAGTTGTAATTACAGAGTATCGAAATGAGACATGGGAGTAATCATGTGATTATAAAGGCCTAAGATGTCAGTCCAAACTATAAACAGCTTCCTGCTCTCAGCTACAGAGGATAGGGAACAAAACAAGACAAACCAATGAGGCAGCATTAAAAGTTGGCCGAATAGTCACTACCTCCAATTCATTTCTGATTCTTAGTCACAATGTAGAGCAGGCCCTTCTGATTCTTAATCACAATATTGAGCAAGCCTTCTGCGCCTTTCTCTTCTTTTTCTTTTGCTTTGGTGGTTGAAGAACCACTTTGATGGCAGCGTCAAACACAGCTTTCACATTCTGGTATTATGGGTACATTAGCACTCGTGATGAAATAAACAACATGACAACAAAAAATCACTGCATGTGTTAAGCAAAAGAACTACACCTGCTGCGTTTTTGAACTACACTCGATGTAGGCAGGAGCACCAATCAGTTTTCTTAATTCTTCTCCCTTCACCCATAGTGACAACATATATCAAAGTCAAGATCAATGTAATTCTGAACAAATAACTCATACTTCCCCCTCTAGTAAAAGAAAGGAGTGGGGCTAAGAAAATTTATGGTACTTTGTACCTGTGCTGTAGTTATTGGAACTGCACCAGGGTGGTCCATAAAAAATTGTTTGTCTTCCCGAAGATCTGCAGTAAAAATTACGCGTTTACACTTGATTAATCATTCATCATTGGTGGTGTTGAATTGGCCGAAAACTGGTTTTAAGCAGTACTAGCTATAGAAAAAAATTTGATAGTGAACCGATATCCTGGTAAAGAAAAGAAATTGGTACTTGTGTTATGCACCATCCCAACAGAACCTAGATACAAGTCTTGTGAACAATATCCTGCATCTATTTTCTCCTTCCAAACAAATCAAACTAGAATTTTCTCAACTCCACAACATTGATTCTAAACTGATTTTTTTTTTTTTTTTAATTTCAGCCATAAGCATTTTGTATTGAGAAATGATAACATGTTATTTTTGGTTTAAACCAACTTCTGTTAGCATTGTACACCACGGCATTAAAACCCCCTTAGCACAAAGAAACAATAACTGCTTATGAAAATGAGCAAAACAATGTGTTTAAGATACTGCTTAAACTACTCGATACTCTAGGTTGGTGGGTGCATGAAAGAAGTTAAGAACCATATGACCTCAAAGAAAAACAAATGCCAAAAGTAGAATAATTTATAAGAAAGTAAACTGATCTGAAGAACAGGATTTGAAGCAAAGAAAACCTTTTCAATAACCAAAGCTAAGCAGTAGCACTAACAGAATCATCAGAATTGGTTAACCTATGACAACATGGTTGAACGAAGGAAAGGAGAAAGGCTTACCTAACTTCGTTCCAACAAGAATTATTGGAACACCGGGGGCATAATGCCTTAGTTCAGGGATCCACTGAAAGAAGAAATAAAAATGAATAACAACTTCATCAGTTGCATCATACTAAGTGCAGAAATCAATTTAAAGACGACCATTCTAATTGAAATTTTAACATGAAAGAAAAGAAACAAACCTTCTTAGCAATATTTTCATAGCTAGCCTTACTTATGAGGGAAAAAGCAAGTATAAAAACATCAGCTCCGCGATAGCTCAAGGGTCTAAGTCTATTATAGTCCTCCTGGCCTAAATCAAACAATATGTAAAAAGGCATTATTAACAAACAATATGCAGAAAACAATACTCAATTCTACATAAACTGAATTAGTAGCCATGTTACCAGCAGTATCCCACAGTCCCAGGTTTACGGTGCTTCCATCCACAACAACATTAGCGCTGAAATTGTCAAAAACGGTGGGCACGTAGTCCTGTCATCATGATATATGAGAAACAGTGAAACCACAAAGCCATAACACCTTGAAGAAGAAAACCAAAATCAATTGGAAAGGATAAGCACTAAAGAAAGCAAAGAACATCAGTTAATGCGAGTAACAAACAGTGTTAAATAACTTTGAAGCATTCGATTGATGCTTCAAAATAACAAGAACGACGACAACACAGTGAATCTCCGTATTAAGAAAGTTCAAGACCAACTCAAACTCCACTTGGAAACTCCAAATAAACGGTGCTTACAAACCCACCGCATACATCGTTAATTTCAGCTGCAAATAGTTATAATTGAGAGAGGAAAAAAAAGTGAAAGAGCAAAGAAAGAAACCGTGGGGAAAGTATTGCTGGTGTAGGAAATCAACAAGCAGGTTTTGCCGACAGCGCCATCTCCGACGGTGACGCACTTTATGAACCTCGACGCACTCATTTTCAGATCAAGGATCTGCGCAAACGACAATGGCTCCCACGAACTTGAAACCCCAACGAGTTTGCAGGTGCAGACAGAGGGGGAAATGAAATGAAATGAAATTGAAATGAAATTCAAAAAGAAAGGGGAAAAAAAAAAGAAAAGAAAAGGGGTTAGAGACACTTGGCTGACTGTGACTGACCCAAAGACAACCTTTTGCCAGCTATCTACAATTCATGTGACTATTAGCTCCTCCTTCTCTCCATACCCTACCCTCACCCAAATAATCATTCCCTCCTCCACTTAATTAATTAAATCACAACAAAATTATTACTCTTTACAATACAAAATTATTACACCCTTCAATTTTACTTCTCTTTTCAACCACTCATATTAGTATAAAACATTACTTTGAAACATTGATCAATTACATACATCACAAAAAACAATTTTACCCCATTATTTACTTACAAGTTATTATGTGTAACAATGGTTCAAGAAGCTGAAGAATGGTACAACTAGGATTTTGATTTTAAAATTGTTGCTATCCAATTATGAAGTTGTTGTTGTTCTGTGGATTTTTACAATTAATTTGAAGAAACTTGAAATGAAGTTGTTCCTTTGCTTGATGAATCTACAACTTAAGTGAAGGAGAATGAAAGAGGGAAAGGGTTTCATCGTCGATTATATCATCAAGGACAAATCTGTAAATACCATTATGCTATTACAAAATATTTCTAGTTCAAAATAATCAGGAAAAAAATAAATTAATATTGGAAAAAAAAAAAATCTGATGAGGACGTATATCTTATTCCTTCTTGGTAGCCTTTGAATATTTAAAAAATGTTAAAAGTGAAATTTGAAACAAACAAAAGGCTCAAACGTAAGGTTAGTTGGCCACACCTCATTACAAAAGAGAAAACATTAGTTGGACAGGCTAATTATTGCGTCGTTGATTGATAATTTAAATTTTAAAATTACTTTTTGCTTCTTTTATTATTTTCAACACAATATGTCAAAACTAAACCACTGATTTTATTGCGTTCGAATCACACAAAACGAAGTAAATTATCATGCAAGACCTGTGACTGAGAGATAACTTTTTATGTAATTAGAACATACAGAAAATAAAAATTAATAAGAATATTAAAATCATTAAATATTTTTTAACCGATTAAAAATATCAACATTGGGTTTACTATTTACAATTGAAAAATGGTGTATAGTTTATTGCGATTTGTAAAGATCAGGGACAATAAGACGAACTTTTATAGGTTTTGATTTTGTGTATCACGAATATTCTCCTACAATAATCAATACAGCAGCTTCTCCATACGTTATTTTTATGCACATGTATTTTATTCTTTTGATCATCATATATTTCTTAGTTTTTGTCGCTAATTTCTTCTATTTTCTAGTTTCATGAATACAAATCATTTAAATTCAACAATAATATATATATATTTTTCAAGAAACAGTCACAATAACTTTTTATAAAGATTGTAAGAAATTATTATGATTACTTAACTTATATTTATTTTAAATTTAAAACTTTTATTGTGTCATTTAGATTTAAGAATTTTATATAAAAAAATACTTTGAATCTAAGCTGTTAAAATGAGTATTTTAATTTTTTTTTCTCGTTTTTATGCTAATTCGTAGTTTAGAAAATTGAAAAACGTCATATCAAATGTATTATCAATAGTTTCAATACAAACATCACCTCACTTTGAAATCAACTGAAAATAATTTGTAGGATGAAATAAAAACTGTTTGGAATGATAGAAAATGAAAAAAATAAAATAAAATATAAGATTAATTTGATTATGAAAATATTATTTTATTAAATTTAAATACAATTATTATTTTTTTCTTTAATTATTTAATATTATAATAATTAATAATAATAATAATAATAATTAATTCTTTTGAAACATAATTAATTATTTCTACACTTTCTCTGCGTACGAGAAAGAGAAACAAAAAAGTAGAAAATTTATATTTTTGAAAATTTATTTTCTGTGATTTGTTCACAAATCAATTCTATATCTTTTTCTTTGTTTTTTTCATTCGGATTCAAACATAGCGTTAAGTGATGAACCATGGAAAAAAAAAGTCGTGAGTTGTTGAGGAGAGTAATTATAAACTGTAGGAAAAATATGTTTTCTAAAAGTGGATTAATTTCTTAAATTATTCTCCTTTAAACACTCTGTTCCTTTTTTAAAATTAAAATTTTTTTAATCGATTATTTATATTTTGATCTGTAATTTATATATACTCGATAGAGTTTTTGTCTATAATTATGTATTTTAATTTTTCTCATGTGCTATTTTTGAATAAAATTTTGAAAACATCTTATGTGTACTGTTTTATATGTATAGTTTTAAAGAGGAAATGGTGAAATGGTTAATTTAATATTTTATTTATTACATATATATATATATATATATTATTTTCTTTTCTTTCGGATTGCATAGCATAACTGAATCGAAAGTACTGTATGCAGGGGGATTCGTATGTGTCGTGGTAAAAAAATAAAATAAAAAATTTATTAAAAACATATATTATGATTCTTTAATAAAACTGTACACAATGATATTCTCTATTTATTTTTTTTATTCCGACCGTAAGATGTTTGTTGGGGTTAACGTGTGAGGATGTTGAAGGAACATGGGAAGTGTAGAGTACGAGATCCATGTGTTGTTGCCAACTCTGATAACGTCTCTGGAACAAACACTGTTACCATTTTTGTTTCCTTGCGTTGTTGAACACTGTTGTAAGGGAGGAAAATGGAACACTTTTTTTGTCCTGGTGTTCCAACTAACAAGTAAGAACCATGCATTCTGGATAAGCTCGGATATTTCCTAGTCCAATTTGTAAGTCCTAAATACATCATAGGTCCTGCAAATTATTAACGTCTTTTCAGCTAAAAATATGGACATTAGTGTTTTGAAAATTATTAACATAATCAAACATGCTAGACACGGTTTGAAAGGATCTCAGATTTAAACGCCAATGATTTAGACACCAGCTGAGATAGAGGAGGAATGCAGTGATGCACACTTTTCTTACTACAACAAATTGTGAGTTTCCCACTCCTTATATTTTTGTAATATTGTAGCAACACAACTACTTTCAATCATTATTAATAATATATAATACTTCAATTCAAATAATAACAGATTCAGCATCAGAAAAAGATATACAAAATGCATTTTCATCGTACATTTTTGACAAGTTTTGCCGAAAAAAAAAAGAAGTTAGAAATGAACTTGATAAAAATGAAGGTGAGAATAACAAAGTTCCTCATGTACATTTCCCGTATGTGTTGTGTTGCGTAAAACCCACGAATGGATATCGGACCTACCCTACCCACTTCAATCCGGTATGAATTTATAATACGTTTATAATTTGATATAGAGAAATGTAAAAATTCACATGCTATTACCTGTTTCTTCTAGTTAATATAATTATTTTTTTATTTTTATCTGATTAACGTTTGAAAAAAAAGAGTCAAACCCATATACACCAATAATTACAATATTAATTATTTTATACAAGATAAAATTACAATCAATATGATTGTTGAGATATTATCAGTATGTCAACTTAATGAAAACAACGATATAATAATAATAAAATCATTTAAAAAAACAATTAATACTTATTTAATAATATAATAATTAATGCAAATCATACTACATTTATCTCAATTCATAAAATGCAAAGACTGTCATTGTATCTTGTTTGTTAATTGTCTAAAAAGATTAGATCATAGACTGAAAAAACTTACTTACATACATACACTTTTTTATTACAAAAACATCACCAACCCAATTCTTTTCATAAAGATTTATAGCCTGACAAGCAAGTCAACCTAATGATTTTGTCATATATTACTCTTTTTTAATCACATCCAATGTCAAATATCACAACAGTCAACTATTTAACTAGATACAATTTTTTTTTTTATCAATCTTATTTACTATGTTTTAAATATATATATATATATATATATATATATATATATATATATATATTATGTTATGTCAATAAATTTACATGTGCTAAAAATAGGGAATTAGACAATAAATTTAACAATGCTGCAATATGTAATAATGGAAATATATGTTGTCACCTTTAAAAATCTTGCCTAGCCCCACTACTACAAATAAAGCTTTCAACGTCGTCGGTTTAATGGCAAGCGTTGTATCAGCGACGTTGAAGTCGTACTTCAACGTCAGTTGCAAAAACCGATGTTGAAAAATACACTTTAGATAGCGGTTCCCTTATATTACAACTCCTTTACCCCCCCCTTTATTATCTAGAAGTCTCCCTCTCTTCCTATTATATTTTTATTTGGTCCTCCATCTCTTTATATTATATTTTTAGAAGTTTTTAATTTTTAAGAGAATTATCATTGGCAGGATTCGAACCTAGTACTTTAGAGTTGGAGGCTGATACTCCAACCACTAAACTGCTTGAATTTTTTGATAATAACTTACAAATAAATTATATTTATATACAAATAAATATATATCCGTGTAAATATATACAAATAAACCCAAGTACTTTCATCTTCTTCGCACCGATAATCCTCCAAAATTTTGTGTTCTTCATGCTGACAAACCTCCCAAATTCACCTTCTCGCTCACAATTTCACTCCCTCTTTGTGACCTTGTACCAGTGACTATCCACCATTGTTCGAGCTTAATCACCTTCGTCTCTTCAACCCCAATCCTCCACCCTTTTATTCGAGCTTCGAAGATCTTTAACCCAAGCATGCATGACCCGACCTCAAGCTTGAAATCCAACCCAGTGACCTTGAATCTCAAATCCGAGTGACCAAAACACCCAATCAAAACTCAAGCAACTTCGAATCTCAACCCCGACCTACCTCGACGAACTCGAGGCCGAACCCCAACTTCGGTGACATCGAACCCCAAAGTTCAAGCCAAACTGTTTTTATAGAAGATTTTCAAAGCTGCTGGTTTAATTAATCTGTTAAAAGATTCTTTTAATCTGTTAAAAGTGCAGTTTTAATCTGTTAAAACTTCTTTTAATCCATTAATACGTTCTTGATTCTTTAACAGATTTGTTTTAACCGATACTTGCAACGTTTATATCAATTAAAACACTTAACAAAAAATCTTCTAAGTTGATTTAATCGATTGTTTCGCGATTCAATCGATTGAAATACTGCAAAACTTTCTCGTAAAACTTTTCAACTAATTTTAACTGATAAAAATAAGTTTTAATCGATTAAAACGCTCGTGCAGAAATTGTTTTAATCGATTGAAACGAGATTTAATCGATTGAAACGCTATCTAAAATGTATCTCGCTTGAGCGATACCCTCTCGCTCGAGCGAAACGCCCCTGCACAAATTTAGCATTCTCGGGTTGTATTTCGCTTGAGCGATTCTACCCTCGCTCGAGCGAAATAAGATTCTGATCGATCATAACTCGCAATGAACGATCATAATTGAGAGGATATAATAGCGGTTCCCTTATAACTGCTATCTAAAGTGTATCTCGCTTGAGCGACACCCTTCTCGCTCGAGCGAAACGCCCCCTGCACAAAATTAGCATTCTCGGTTTGTATTTCGCTTGAGCGACACTACTCTCGCTCGAGCGAAATAAGATGCTGATCGATCATAAGTGCACTTTAGATAGCGGTTCCCTTAGAACCGCTATCTAAAGTGCACTTTAGATAGCGGTTCCCTTAGAACCGCTATCTAAAGTGTGTGAGTTTTTGTGGGTTTCAACGTCGGTTATATCCACACTCGACGTTGAAAGCCCATGCATAAGGGTTTTCAACGTCGGGTGAGGGCATAACCGACGTTGAAAGCCTACTTTCCACGTCGGGCATGCTAAAACGACGTAGAATGTGCCAAAATTCGACTTTCAACGTCGGTTGTTGAACAACCGACGTTGAAAGCATATTCAACGTCGGCTACAATGTAACCGACGTTAAACAGTGACGTTGAAAGCATATTTTCTAGTAGTGCCCCTTGTTCCTTTTGTGCGATGAATAAACTTTCCATTAAAGATGTAAAATAACCCGAAAATTTAAATACATACATTATGGAACTTGATATAGCCCAAATGGATGGTGCATACAAAAGTTCACATCCAAAGAACTAACTACACATGATCTCCTTTCTCTGCACCCCATTCAAAAAAACCATAGGTGCTGCACAACTACAACCAACAAAACACCCACTTTTCTTAGAAAAACAAAAAAGAAGCATCATGTTGACCAACACCCCAATCAGCAAATTATCCTCGCCGATCGTCTTATTTACACATAATACACTATTAGGAATGTAATAATAGTAGTATGCATCAAGTAACGTGACCCAATATTCATGTTCATGCTACACACGATCCATCGCGTAACCAGGAGAGAGATAAAGAGAGAGAGAGAGAGAGACAGATTTAACATGATCATCGGAGGCGTAGAAGTCGCCGGAGATTATTGGTCGCTCCGTCGTCAACGCCACCACCGGCGGCAGTGGCGGCGGCGGCTTCAGCGTTGCAACCGAGTTTTGATCTGAGAGAAAACTTGGGCAGCGGCAAACTACTGGGTGGCGGAGCCAAATTAAAAACGTACCCCGAAACGAGGTCGTTGACGTTTCCCATCCCTAGGACCAGTCTGGGAAGGTCCTTGGGATCGGGTCCCCTGGGGTTTTCAGAAGCCATGATAAGAAATTGCGTCCCCGATCTCTTCTTCGTTTCTTCTCGCTTCGTTGCTTTCGATTTCTTCGGCGTCAGAGACATGTCTCTGGTTCTAATATTTCGGGAAGCACGAGGAAGAGGAAGCAGAGGTGGTTGTTGTTGCAGGTGTTGGTGATTGAGGAGTGAAGAAGCTGAAAGCGGGTGAGGGTAGTAGGAGAAGGACATGGCGCGTGAAAAAGGAGGGTTCAAGAGACCTGCAAACGTGTCAAAATTCTCAGAACGTTGGTAAGAATTGAAACTACCTCGTCCGTTTTTCTTCGGGGTTTTCATGCTCGTGTTCTTGTTCGGAGCCTGTGGCGTCAAAACGGCATCCATTCGGGATCACACGAAACAACACCGAATTCGGATCAAACAGTTAATAAACAACATAAAAAGCTTGATCTTCTTCAAAACAAACGGATCAGTAGCCTGTGAATTAGTTCACTAGAACGAGAAAAAACGATTGCACTTGTTATCTTAAAATCAGATCAGAAGAACAACCTTGTATCTATGTAAGATATTGTTATCATAAATCATATAAACCATGACATACATAAACATATGAACATAAGAGGAGTAGGGGACCCTGGCTTTTGTAAGAAATGGGTCTGAGCCACTAAGCGATTATTATCAACACGCTCGTATGCCTTTAATATATCGCAAGAGCCCATGCTGAACTTTTTTTTTTTTTTTTTGAGTGAACGTTAGTGATAGGATATTCGTAATTATTTTAATGATTAATATTTTGTTTTGTGACGAAATTTCCTATATTAGTGAGAAGAACCGTTGCGGTAGTCGAATACCGTGGAATGGTTTGTAGGGCGGCAACCGCCGGGGCGTTGAGGACCGTTGGATCCTGTCTTTGTAAATAAATAGCCGTTGGGTGAAGAAAGCGACGTGAATAACATCATCGGGTTCCTCGAAATTTGTCTGAGACAGAGAAGAGGGGAGAACTCCTAGCCATACACGTGTTCATTATGGTGGGCCCGGCCTTTTGATATTTGTTTATTGCCCGTTACCTCATTTGCGGGGAATAAATCTGTGCTTCCCATTCTCTTTCTTTGTGAAAAAAAAATAAAAAAAATGAAACTGCTTGGGGACTTGGGTTAGCTGTTGTTATCGTTATTATATTTTTTGCTTAAATATATTTCAAGTTCTTGTAAATTACTTATATTTGGCTTTAGTTTATGTAAGATTTTTTTTATATCTTTGATATTTTTAAATCATCTCTTTTTTATTTTTATAATTAAATATATAAACTTGTTGTGAACTAGATTACGTGTAATACAGACGTGGATGAAGAGATTCAACATGAGTCTAAAATTAAAATTTAGTTTTAAACTATATTTATATTATATTATATGCTCCAATAGAAATTGCCCTAATATTTACATTGGAATAAAGTTCCAGTGTTTCAATATGTATCAGTGACAGCATTAACTAATGAAGTAGTAGGTAGTATATTTCTAAACTTGGATTTCTTGTATCTAATTATTTTGTTAATTTCCCGATATTTCAATATAAAATCGAATAATTAACATTTGTACTTTATTTTTTTCTCCCCTTATATTTTACTTACCATACAAAGCGCACAGAATAATTTGGTGAGAGAGGGACGTAAAAGAATGACGTGGATCCACCGACCAATGATTAGATTTTTTCAAGTTTACCTAACAGCCACGGCAAAGGCTCAAATTGCTTTTTCTTAATATTTACTTCTATTGATTCAAAGTGGAACATGACAATTAGACACTGTTAAGGTTTGTTTTATATAAACTTTTTAACATAAGATTAGGATGTAAGACTCCTGAATGAGAAATTTGTACTTAAAAGTGGAAAAATAGGTTAATGAAAAAGCTGATGAATGTTTCTTGAAATGCAAATTATGATATTATTTTATATTTTAAAAAAAAACTTATACCCTGGTGATAACGAGGAATCTTGGCCTGATTCTTGGTCGGTTCCTTGACTCATGGCATCGTTGTCACCTGTAATACACTTTGAGTTGAGGTCAAAGCCACAGCTATATATATAGTCTCGAGTGGAGTAAATAATGCTCTCTATAAATTATTTACAAAATGATTTTTTCTTTAATCAACAGTTAAAAAAACACTATTTTTCAAGATAAGTAAAATATATATTCAATACAAATTTCTTAAAATAAAAGTAATAAATTTTGTATAAAAAAGAAAAAAATTGAATATTTTATTTGTTTATATATATATATATATATATATATATATATATATATATATTCCTGATTACCCATTTTATTAATTAGTCGATCTAATACATGATATCTATTTTTTTTAGGTTATAACGAAAATCATATCTATTATCTAAAAAAAATTGAATATTTTATTTATTTATTTATATATATATATATATTCCTGATTACCCATTTTATTAATTAGTCGACGTAATACATGATATCGATTAATATATCTATTTTTTTTAGGTTATAACGAAAATCATATCTATTATCTAAAAAAAAAATTGTGTATAATATAATAAACAACTTTTAAAAAAAGTTCACATCTTAATCTAAATATACGGATAAAAATAATAGAAAGACAAAAATATCATTTATTGTGATTACACATCTATCAGATGTGTTTATAATCGTTACTATAACAGGCACTTTAACTCTATTTCTTTAGAGTTTGTTATTAAAATTAAATTTTAAAATATTTATATTTAATTTAATTAAAAAAATTAGAATAGACGAAGATGGAAGAAAAAAAAATTAACAAGTTTTACTATTTTTTTTTAAAAGGGAAAAAAGAAGTTAGAAAGAAAATTAATATATTTTATTAAATTTTGAAGAAAAAGAAGATTAAAAAATAAAGAAAAACAAAAAAAATCTATTTGAAAATTTTTATTTAAACGTTAAATATTAATTTTAATTATATTTATCATCTTATATTTAAAACTGCGTTTGAATTTCTCCTAAAAGGCGCCTTAAAATTCCACCCTTCTTAGTTCACCGGACCAATACGATGGATCCGAACACTTCGCCACCGTGCCCCGGTACGATCACCATTCGTCGGAACCCTCCCCGGAGAGCTCGCGCCACTCCCAAAGTTACGCCTCAAAGCTTCGACTTACCCGATATCCCGCCATTCCCTAACGACGACGTTTGGCCTGCACAAACGCCACTCAACCCCTCAACGTCTCTCCCAAAACCGGAGAATGAAAACCTAAAGGTTTTCCTCCGAATCCGACCCCTTTCGTCTTCGCCCATTCAAGCTCCGCGCGCGAAAACTAAGAGCGCGTGGCCTCAGAACCCCGCGAAAAAGAACGCGGCCGCATCGGGGGCTAAAATTTCGAAGAGCAAGACCTCCAGCGCGTGCATAACGGTCAACGACTCACAATCGGTGACGTTATCAACCCCCGTAAGCTGGCATGAACCGAAACGAATCAAATCGGAGACTTACGGAGGCTTCTCGTACGTTTTCTCTTCCGACTCCTCTCAGGTAACGATGTTATCTCCTTTTAAAGTTTTTCGTCATTGGCGTTTTTTTCTTCTTCTTTCCGTTAGCTAACAATAGCATTGTGATGGGGAATTCAGTTTAAAGTGTATGAGAGAATGGTGAAACCTTTGGTGGAGGAGTTTCTTAGGGGTAAATGTGGAATGCTTGCTGCATTGGGACCTAGTGGATCTGGGAAGACTCACACCGTGTTTGGAACCCCAAGGGATCCTGGAATGGTACCTCTTGCCCTACGCCATATTTTTAAGGACGCTGAGCCACATGCCAAACAAGCATCTAGGTATTGTGCATTAATTCCAAATTTTTTGTTACGTATATACTTTAGTTAAGCAGCACAAGGATCAATATCGATTAGGACTTGTATTTGGTTACAATAAGTTGAAAAAAATACATATCTAAGTGTCCAGGGAGTAACAATATGGAGATTTTCAACAATGGGACATAAGTTAACATCTAAGAGAATGTCACATTACCTTCAATATAAAATCTTCAGGCATTAGCTATAAGCCTTTTTCAAGTTACTTAATTTTTCCATTTCTATTCAGAGTGGGACATAAACTCACTTGAATTCTCAATAATCTCCCCCTCAAGTATGGTTCCCTTTTATATTGGTACATCATCCCTTTGAGCGGAAACATTTTTTATACAAGGATTCATAATCTAAGATCTTTCACCTACTCTAAATTGTACTTAACAAGTGGTCTTTATAAGATCTTTCATCTACTCCAAATTGTACCCAACGGTTTCCATAAGATCTTTCACCTACTCCAACACCACTTTCAACAAAAAATTTTAAGACATTGGGTTATATGTCTTTTTTTCTTATATGTTGATCAATTTTCTCATTTTTACTCAATGTAGACTTAAACCTCCTACCATCTTCCTCTCAAGTGTGAGTCTCGTCACATTGGTATCCCCTCAAGCGGATACCATTGATGAGAGACAACATCAATGAGACATTAGTCTAATCCACATAAGGGGATTGACATCACTTTCAACCAAAAACCTTAAGTCATTGGGTTATGAGTCTTTCTTTCTTATATGTTTCTCAACTTTCTCATTTTTACTCAATATGGGACTTAGACTCACTTGAATTTTCCAACACTAAACTCATGCTTAGTTTGGTGTTGGATCAAGTCAATGCAGATTCATGACCCACATACAAGCTGAAGTTACTTTGGATAGTTTCTATTTTCTCACTTTTAATTTGATGCTCCAAACACCAAACTAAACATACACTAACTGCCTGTTTAGTTTTACATTGAGCTATCCAAAATTACATACAAATATCAGCTAATGATATTTTAGGTAAATCTTCACATGTTTTTTTCATGTTAAAAGTTGATTTTGTATCCACACAATTATTTTTTAGTAGGAGAACTTCAACCCATTTTTGAAGCGGATAAAAACAATTTATACTTAGTTTTACTACTAATTGGATTTACTAATGCATAAATTACTTTAACTCATTCAAAATAAAATTTGCAAATACTGATCCAAAAATACACTAAGTTTATGTAATGGGTAAAATATGTTAGCACAACATTATTATCAGTGTCCACACAAACATGGTAGAGCAGTGCAGTGACAAGCTTCAGAGTTTGAAAAATAGTTTGTACCTTTGGTTGAGTTTGTTGTTTGAGTGAATGAAATGCCAATCTTGTGCTGTGGTATAACTTGCAGAACCTTTTACATGTCAATATTTGAGATATGCTCTGAACGGGGTAAAGCAGAGAAACTGTTTGATTTGTTATCAGATGGAGGTGAAATAAGCATGCAGCAATCTACCGTGAAGGGATTGAAAGAGGTATAAAGCTACATACATCTGTTTATTTGTTTTGTCCAGCTGTGTGTAATATATGGTTGGTGCTGATTTTGTGTTTCTTGCGCTTGTCTGAACAGGTTCCCATCTCTAATACGGAACAGGCAGAGTCCTTGATGGCACAAGCAGCACTGAAACGTGCAACTGCAATGACAAATACTAACAGTCAGTCGAGGTAAGATGTAGGAATGTTTCATCTATCTCTAAAAAAATAAAAGAGGAATGCTAGCAACACAGCTCTTCTAATGTTCTTTATATCATAAATTAAAATGTATTAAAAACTATAGAGCCACTAGTGAAACTCATTAAATAAGAAGTTAGACCCATACAATTTTATGATTTCTTATAATAGTAGTGTTTGAAAGTGTATTATTGGGAATTGGGTATTCTGGGGTGTGTGACAATGTTTCTTAATGTGGTACTTAAGTCTTGAGTAATGTTTCTTAATGTTTCCTATCTAATGCACTAGTATTTTTGGGTTGGACTCTCCTCCTGTACTTAAGTCCCAACGATGGGTTGGATGAAAAGGGTTATTATAGACTGAATGAAAGTGTAAAGTAGACAATTATATGAGTAAAGTTGTCAAATAAAATAATTGTTAGTTGGTTAGTGTAGAGTGAACGCTGGTAGGCGTCAACGCTCATGAGCAATGCTGTGATAGGGATTTTGGTATTATGAGATGCTTAGCCTCACATCAGGTTAATTTGGGATGAGTATTTAAGTGGTTGGTCCCTCAATTACTACGTTTTAGAAATGGGTTCTCCAACTGCTTCAGTGCTTATCAATTGGTATTGGAACTAATTGGGTATGATGGGATGCTTTAGTCCTGTATTGAGTAATATGAGATATTCGGTGAAGTATTTAAGTGTTTTGTTCTCCTCTAATAATAGCTAGCTTATGACGGTGAGTCCCCAAGTACTTGTGTGCTTATCAATGTATAATGTATTGCTAGCATTTCTAAAAACAAAATGGCGTTGTTGTTGGCAGTGTTTTCTTCCAATTGAAAGCATATCGATTTTATTAGGCAGAGGTTTTTTGAACCATGCAGTGATTTCTTTTGTTTGAGGGTACTGTATCTCCAGTAACTTGGTCAGTAGTGAGTACGAGGAGAGCATGAAGAGCAGCTCAACATTTATAATAAATGTGCAGGAAGTAGGTGGTAGTTCAGTTAATTTTTTGTAGGATGGGTTACAAGTTTTGTTATTGAAGTCATAGTTTCTTAGTAGCTTTCTTAGATTATGCGATCAATCACTTCATCTCAAGGCTTGATCTTTCTCTCTTCATACTTGCAGCCGGTCACAGTGCATTATTAACATTCGTGATGTTCCCCCAAAATGTAAAGGGGTGGTGAATCCTAAGTCAAACAGTGCTGTTTTGACTATCATTGACCTTGCTGGGGCTGAAAGAGAAAAAAGAACAGGGAATCAGGTTCATTTCATTTTTCCATACTGTTATGAGCAAATAGACTTGATTTGGGGCATTGTGCTGTATCCACTTTTGAAATATAATCTAGATGATCTCTTAAATGTCATATCATTACCCTCTTTGTTCTGTTTTATAGAACAAATATAACTTTTGTAGCCAATAATAGCTTAGAGAAATTCATTAGCCTGCATACTCTATGAACCATGATTTTAGTGTTCGAATCATAACTATTCATGATGTCTTTCACTTTTACTTAAAAGGTTTCATAAAGTTTGAAAAGTATAAGCTTTTACTAATTACTAGAGTGAAATTCTTTTGGTGTCTTGATAAAAGTTATAATTAAATATCGATTTAAAAAGTAAACCTTGTTAATTATAGGAGAATTGTCTACAAATTTCTAATAACCAGTATGTCATCATTTCTTGAATCCAGTTTGCAAGTTTTACTACAATTTTTTACTGGGCTTAGTTGATCATTGCAGTGAGGAATAAGGGTTGGTTTTCATTATAAATATTTTTTCTTTAATTCCATCTCAGTCTTTCTTTTATCTCCATCTAAACCATTTTTTGTGATGTTGTAGGGGGCAAGATTGCTCGAAAGCAATTTTATCAACAACACATTAATGGTGTTTGGCTTATGCCTAAGAGTATGTAGCCTGTACTTTAAACTACGAACCCAAGTTATTGTGCTATTGGTAGCGAGACTTTTATCTATTGGTATTCTACTACCAACAAATTTGGAAAATATTGAATGTATTTTTCACTTCTGCATTTACGTTCCTTTTACCTTATGAATTATTTTATTGTTTGCAGTCATTATTGGAGCACCAAAAAAATCGCAAGAAACCATTGCAGAAACACTTCCAAAGCTCCATGGTAATTTTTTTAATAATGTATTTTTTATGTATTTTTTATTTTTTTATGTACTATAGTTGTCATCTGCTAATGTTTATCAATAAAAATAGGCTGAAAGCTTATTATTTTCTCTGCTTAGGAATCTCTTTTAGACAATGAAATGGGGAGAGTTACTACTTTACAAACTTGACTTTTTCTACTGCTACTGCAGTTAACCAGGTACCTGCGAGATTATTTGGAGGGCAAGAAGCGCATGTCCTTGGTATGTTTTTAAACTTCATTTTCTTTAAGCAGATCAAAGTTATACTTACCTATAGGGGAGTTTCTTTTCATCAGAATCCTATGCATTTCTGATATATATTTTTCAAAATCATCACTTTTACTAATTCGTTTTCGTAACTTTTACTTGTTTTCATAGATTTTAACAGCAAAACCTGGAGAAGAAGATTATCTTGATACTTCTTACCTACTGAGACAAGCTTCTCCTTACATGCAGATAAAGTGAAATTCTTCATTTTCGTTATCTTACTTGGATTTCATTTTTGCCTAAGATTGATTTCTAAGTATCTATGTTTGTTTCTCTTAGGTATAATGAAGTTGAACCATCAAATATAGTTCCCAAAAAAAGGCATTACCAAGCTTCGTCAATAATGGATAATACAAAACTATCACCATTATCAGAAAGTTTGAAGAGAATAAGACTTGTTAGTGAACATACTGAGCAGGTTTTCTGCTACATCCTAAGCTTGACTCCTTGTCTAAAATAGAAGAGCTGGTTGAGATTGTCATAAAACTGCATTTGAACATTTATAGGTAGCATAAACATTATATTATAGTTGATGACATTGACATTGGCCTCTTACCATTAGCTATTTTTCTAGTTGAATAGTTGGTGAGGTTTTATGAACCCGTGTATTAGAAAGACAATTTACATCTATGAATTGCCAGAAATCTGTGTGAAAATTATTAAGGATTTTATAACGTGATTTTTGAAAATTAAGAATGTCTATGTGGTGGAGACATGAAAGAGATGGAAACAGATGTTAGTTCGAGAAAATGAGAGTTGGGACTTAGGATATGGGAACATGAGGTGGAGGGTCATTGGTTTACAGTTAGATAACAAAACAAATTAACATTATGCACACAAAGGCTTAATTAGATTACATAAAAGTCAGAACTCAGATCACGACATCTTTGTGTTAAACAAAACATAATGTTTGCCCGAAAGTAAATAGTTCTTACAATGTTGTGCTCATGACTAATTATGATAAACTTTTGATCTTGACTCTTGATATACCATGTATACTTTGTGTGTCCTTCACTTTCACCAATTTTGAAATTTATTATCCTCAAAATGATCATCTCATTTATTTTTATGAACACAAGTTTGCTGTTCGGTTGTTCCATTTGTAGAACCATGTTAATTGTAGATTTATGGACTGTATAAGTTTTTGGTTTTTATTTCCGTTTTACTTATAATCCACTATATTTTTATTTTTGTCCTCAGAATGATAAAAAGAGTGTTGAAGAAAGGCAGAATTTTACGGAAGGTAGTACAGGACATTTAAAAACTGTTAAATTTATCTGTTCTGTTTTTTCCCTTAAGGGTAGGCTACACAACAAGGTCAAGGGTAACATTCCAATGCCTTTCCTATAGATCAATTTGAACATTGGACCTTCAGCTGGAGGATCTAACGTTCAACATCGGAGTGTCCCATTGTGGAATTTGTATTTTTTATTTTTATTTTTTTGCATTCTGAAACTGGACTGTTCATGTTCTTATATAGTTCAATTTATAAATTTTCATCCCTTGGTCCCGTAATTATCACCTGAGTCCTGACTTTGACTTTGTTCATACATTTCAGCACTCCGCAAATTAGATGCTAGCAGTTCTGTCTCTTTCAAGTCAGAGTGTGATAGGCAGCTCCGGAGTGAGAGAAGCCACATTATTATGCAGAACTTTGCTAAAGTTATATGGAATGTTCTGAAGCAGTATAATTCCAAGCTGAAGGTAATAATAAGAAGAAGGATGTTTGCTTAAAGTAATCATTAATATTTTTTCTCATTCATTAAAGTGCTTGACTGTGGTGTTTGTAGACAATCCATGTATCTGAACATAATGTATTTCTTTATTCCTAATCAGGTTGCAGAAATAGAAATAGAAAGTCTCAAAGAAAACATTGGGAATGAAAAGAAAAAATACTTGGAGCTAGAAACACAGTTGAACGAGTTGAAGGCAGATTGTATTTGCTGCAAAGGAGGACAAATAAAAAATGATCCTGAAGATTTTTCATCAGTTGGTCTGGCTCAACCACATAACTCAGAGCAAGAGGTTGAATACAGTATTTCTGGATTCCTGCTTTCTTGTATGAAGATTAGTGAGGTTTTCATAGGTGCAACTTTGTTGCTCGTTCACCTGAACTATATTCGTTAAGAACTGATTCTGTATGGGGGTGCAAGGTCCTGTGTCAAATAATTACTGAGTATCAGGGAAAATTAGGCTGTCAGCTCTGGCAATTAGTTGATTTTGACATCACAATATGCAATGATTATTTGTTATTAGGATTTGATAACTAACCGCAAGAGACAATCTGCTAGAACTTTATTTGTTGGTTCATTCATGATTTTGCCAGTAAAATAATAAATTGAGTTTGATAATGAGTTGTTCATGTAGTTGAGGAAGTTGGGTCGACATGAAATAACTTCATCTAGTGCCAACCTATGTTAGCTTGAACGAAATAATTGGCTAACCTGATTTGTCAGCTCTTACTTTCCTCGGCATGTAGTTGTTGCTAGGTCTTGGTTTGGTGTTTTGTTAAATTAAAACAATCATACTACTAAAATCATCCCATCTGATGTGTGAATTGACATAAATGTACTATGTGTGTATTATATGAAATGGTTCACCCACTAGGTTTTTTTCTTCACCCCAAAATGTATGCAAAGTTCAGTCAGATTGCAATGTTATATGTAATTTGGTTTCCATTCTTTCCAGAAAACATTTCATGCACAGTCATCATTTTTGGTCAGAGTTGAACAGTCTGATGAAGAGGGGCCCATGCTCAGTACTTCCTGTACGCGGTTAGATTCTGAAAAGTCAGATAGGTTAGTATTGAACAGTGTGATCTTTCACATCATGTAGCTTCCGGTTAACTTTCTTGGCTTGGAGTTTGGACAAATATTCTTGTTCCTAATTTGTGCTTGGTGTAATAATATAGGGAAGCTTTGTCCTTGTCAAAACCAGAGCATCGTAGTGCTTTGGATGTTGATGATGGGAGCAAGATACTGAGTGTGAGTTGAATTTTCCATTTGTTTAACTCGTGCATGTGTAATTTGCTCGTTTTGATTTATTGAAGGAGAGATGAGCTGTTGATTTGTTGTCTCCATGTGTCCAATCTAGTTTGTTCAATTATGAACTATGCTTTAGATTTAGAAGGATCCTTCATATAGTTAACGAATTTAGTTTGACAAAAATTAAAATAGTGGCAACCTAAGTTAGGTTGAAGCCATTAATTGACTAACATGTTTCCCAAGTCCTACTTTTTTATAACATATAGTTGTTGGGATTATCAGTTAAATTAGGCTAAATGTCTTGGTAAATATTTTTTGGGTTTTGAGTTTAATGTCTTATTAAATATTTTTGTGGGTTTTGGGTTTATTGTCTTACTAAATAAATATTTTTTTGGGTTTTGGCTTTAATGTCTTATTATTAATGAAACTAGTCTTCAGCGAACAGAATAAAACTTTTATACTGCTAGAGGTATCTCATCTGATGCGTGGATCAACTTAACTACTATGCTTTGTGTTTATTTGGGAAGAAGGTTCATCCACTAGTTCTTTCTTGAAAATATATGCAAGCTGTATTCTGATTGCAAAGTTATCATGTATGTATTTGGTTTGGTTGTTCATTCTTTCTGGGAATCATTTGATGCACAGTCATTGTCTGAGGCAAAACTTGACCAATCCGACGAACAGCCTACAATCGGTACTTCCTGTACACAGCTAGATGCGACAGAGTCAGATAGGTTAGTAACATGAAGAATGATGATCCCATACACTTTTTCTTGGCTTTGAACTAATGCACTACGTCCGTAATTCTTGCTTGTAATGTAATAGGAAAATTTCCACCTACTTGTTAAAAGCAGAGGACCATAATGCTTTGGAAGTTGAGACTTCGCACAAGATACCGAGTGTAAGTTGACATTCTATATGTTAACGTGTCAGTTTGCTTGCCCTTTACAATTTGCTCGGAGGAAACACCATTCTTTCTTTAAAATATTGGGCTGTTCATTCTTTCTAGGAATCATTTGATGCGCACTCATTGTCTGAGGCTGGACTTGACCAGTCTGATGAAGAATCTACACTTGGTACTTCCTGTGCACAGTTAGATTCTGAAAAGTCGGATAGGTTAGTATTATGAAGAATGATGAGGTCTTGCTTTTTTTTTCTTAGCTGTGAACTAATATAATATACTGCTCCTTAACTCTTGCTAGTTGCGACGTTACAGGGAAAATTCAATCTCCTTCTCAAAACCAGAGGATCATAATGCTTTGGAGGTTGAGGCTGTGCGCAAGATACCAAGTGTAAGTTCAAATTCTATACGTTGATGTGCATGAGTCAATTTGCCTTAATTTTACATGTTGCTTTAATGAAGGATTGTGCCTTAAATTTGCCAGTTCAATATTCTGAATGAGTGTGCATATAGTTCAGGAAATCAGGTTGAAATGAAATAAGCTAAGTTAGCTTGACCTCGTATAATGTATTGTGTTGGAAGCCTCATCCTGTGTCATGTGATATAGATTAAATATTTGTTATACTTCTTCACATATTTTCAATTGGTTTTAGATATTGATGTTTCTATATTTCATCCAATTATTCCTTTAAACTTGACTTTTTGAGTTGATGATAATCAACTGAGCGTTTGCATTTATAAGTGTAAGTCAATTTGGTGTCAGAAATTACAAAAAATTCACATTTGTTCCTCAAATTACAAAGATGAAGACTAAAATAATGGACGCTTTGTAATTATAAAATTAAAATGAACGGTGCATATAATTTTATAGACTAATTTGACGTACTATTCTTTTTTGAATGGAAAGTCGTGAATAAAAAAGACACTGCAGAATTGACCTAGACTAATGAAAAACCCGATGTTTTCAAATTGTTAAACAGGAATATTGTTTATAAGGGTGTTTCAATGACTAGTTCAACCAATAAATGTTGTGTTTTTTTAGAAAAAGACGCAGATCGAATTTCTGCCATATAAATAAATTTGAAGTAAAATAGGTCATTAAGAGATAGACAAATGGTTCTACCTGAGCTCCATAAACAACATTGTTCATATTAATTGAACATGCAAAACCTATATTCCCTGTTTTGTTCGCCTTTCAGGAATTGCTCGTTTCGTCATCATCAACAGAAGATGACAATTTGGATCCTTTGTCACCCAATGATGATCACCTAGTAGGTGGTGATCCACGTGGTAAGATTGGTGTCGATATTTCTCGCAAACCTCCTAAGCCAAAAAGGTCCGTGGTGTAATCATGATGGAAGAGTATCGATTGGTGTTTAACTTTTTAACCTTGTACTTTGTTTCTCCTCAACATTTACTGATCGAAGTTTTTTTATTTTGTGCTTGTCGAAATCAGGACACTTATGCCTTCGTCTTCCATGTTATCAAGGGACTTGAGTACCTTTGATCTCTGTGACGAATCTGAGAAATTAAAGGTACCATGTACAATTTAATATTTAAATTTGGATCAGTACAGTTCCAAATAAAGCGCATATGTACGAAATTACACAACACCGTTGTGAATTTGCAGGGTAATAGGGGCACAAGGAAATTAGCTACACATGAACCCCAAAGATCTAATGGAAGCATCTCCCTGCTCCGCATGCTGAAAGATAGAAGAAGCAATCTTCATCGCTAGCTTACCCACTTTTTCTTTTTTTGTTTCCAAGAAAAAAAAAAGTGTCCTTGTTGTGCAGTGTGTCCTCGGCACTTAGTAATATACCTTCTGACTTGCCTTTGCAGTCGGCCAATCTATTGGAGTTGTTTCTTACCGTTGACAAATGAGTTGTTTGCAAGTATAATCTTTTTCTTCTTTTACGATGGTGATGACAACGAGGATCAAACCTAAATCCTCGTGTATCCATCACAACCCTCACTGGTCGATCCTGATGAGTTCCTAATCTTATTTTTAAACTGTTTATGTGTATATGCGTCCAAGATAAACGAGGTCTCATGCGCTTGCCATTCAAGCATTACCCACGATTCTGCATTCACTTTCGTTCTCTTCAAGAAAAGTTTATTTATTTACTTATTTATTTTTTCACCAGTTGTCTGAGAATGAAAAGATGAGTCATACCAACTTTTTTTTTTTTTTACCTATAGCGATTTTATAAAATCTGTAATGTTAATTTAACATATAAGTAAAAAATTGAGTAAAAAAATAATTGTACAAGACAATGGAAAAAAATAGATTATCAATCATATCTAGTTATTTGAATTAAATATTTGATTAACTACTTAGAAAAATGTTAGATTACCCCATGCAACCAAAAAGTTTAACTGCATATCACCGTTAACATTAATTGTCTTCAATCAATAAGACCACACAGAAATAAAATTTTTGCTGTTTACAATTTTAAAATTTAATTGTAAGGAAATAAGTTTTATGAATTAATTTATATGTAACTTAATTATGAGTATCAAAATAAGTTTATTTTTATGAATTGATATGAAAAAATTATTTATATTAAAAAATTTGTCATCTAAATTGAATTAAATTATTTTTTTATATTATGTTAATTTATAATATTTTAGATCAACATGATTTATAAAATAATTATTATTTTAATAATAAAATAAAAATATGATTTTATTAATAAATATAATATATATATATATTATAAATTAATTTAAGAAGATATTTATTTATTTAAAAAGTAAAAATTAAAATAAAATATTACTTTTAACTATTATATTAAAAAAAATTGAAAAGTAAGGGTGAAAAAAATTTGAAACTCTCAGTTTTCTTTTTTGAGTAAATGATTTTTTTTCTTATATTAAAATTATTTTTTTAACTTTCTGAATTAATTTTTTGAATAAATTATTTTTATATAAATATATTATGACTTTTTTAAATCAATAAAATTAAAATTAGTTAAAAAAATATAACTTATTTTAAAATATTAATATCATAAGAAAAAATCTTTTATTTATAAGATAAAGTTAAATAAAACAGTCTGTTTTAATAATTTTAAATTTAATTTTAGCATATTAAAAAAATGTTATGGAAGAAGTTTCTGGAATGAAGGAGATATCTACGGGTACTCTGACAAATAAGTCTATCCTTGTTATTATAAAAATATTAATTTTAAATGCAAAATTATTGTTCTGAATAAATTACAAAATTATAAAAAATTTCTGATTCCGTGATAAAAGGAGTAGACTGATTTTTGTCGGTTGCATTGCACCAGTATTAGTTAAGGAGTCGACATGCGTTTTTGTTTTATTTATTTTGTTGGAAACAAAGAGGACAAAGTAGTACAATCACATTGGTTTTATTAGTTTTAGAAATATAAAAGACAACTTTTTTGAAGATATAGATTTAACTTCTTCCATCCCACTCTTTTTTTACCACCACTAACTAACTTTGGAATGGAGTTTTTGGAATTTATATTTTACATTTTCGAAAGCCTATTTCAAAATGTGTGGGAGGTGACCCATAAATTAATGAAATACAAGAAAGAAAAAAAAAAGAAAAAATAAAAAACTAATCCATTATCAAATACATTTTGTAACCATTTTAATCAATACACTTTTGAAATACAAATTATTTACTCATTTTTCTACTAGATTAGATACTCATGTTCTTTATATTTTTAGATTTTACTTTATTTTAACAATTAAATTTAGAAATAAACACAATAAATTCCCACACAAAAAAATAATTGATTCGAATTTATTAAATACGATTCTCCTAATAACTTTAAAACAGGAAAGGATCAAAATTGATTTTTTTTTAAACTGTTTATATATACAACGGTATATTTTGATGTTCTCAAAACATAATAAAATTTATTTTTAATCTTAATTCTTACATTCTTGTAAATTACATTTTTTTTAGTCTTTTTTACGTAGAAATCCAAAACTTGTGACCACAAACGGTATAGAAAACAAAGAATTGCATAAACGTATTTAAACCTTAAAAATATGGTTTTTAAATGTATTAAAATATATGTAAGCAAAATTTATTCTTTAAAGTGGTATTTTTTTTCATATCAAATCATTTTTTATATGAAAAACTAAAAAGAAATTATTCATCAAGATTTATGCTAAACTTGTATTGTATCATGCACAAGATGATAAATATTCAATTTGTGTATATAAGATAAATATTTTCAAAATTATTTGGTAGATAATATTGTTAAGATATTTTGTAGTAGGTGCATAATAGTATCTGAAATTCACGTATAGAAGTAAGAAAAATAAAATATTTCTCTGTTGATAATATGTCATCGAGAATAAGAAAGATGGAAATTTTATCCACGAATTACACATTCTAATTTATATAATCATATGTAGAGAGATATAGTTATTCTCTTCAAAATATATTGATCAATTTAAGGTACATAAATATTATAAATAATTATATATTAATATTTTTTTTATAAATTAAAATATCTCAATGCTGACGGATTTATAGAATTCATTTTCTATTAGCTTACTTAAAATTTTTTACCTTAATACAATAGTTTTTATATACAATGATATTCATGGGTTTATAATTATGAGTCTATGTAAGAGCAAGTTCAAATTTTTAAATTTTATTTTCATAGTTAGTTTGTGTATAAAAAAGTTTGATAATTATATCAATTTTTAGACTCAATTTTTAAAATTTTAATTTGTTACGATTTTTTCTTTAAAAGATATAAAATATAATATATTTAAACTATTAAAATTAAATAATTAGGATTACCCTTCCTTATCATTAATAAAATATATTTTTATTTTATAAATTTTATCTTTCAAAGCATAGAAAAAAGAGATTTCATTAATAATATTTTTATTTAACTGATTATCCTCTTAATAATTTTTAAGAACTAAAATAAATTTAAAATTTAGAAAAAATATATTTTATCGTGATTTTCCTATTTATAAAAGTAGTAGAGAATTTTAGTGACAAACCACCTAAATTGGTTAATAGGTTAATGTAACGCGAGAGTTTGTAATCACTGATTTAATGTAAAACAAATAGTTTTCTGGGAATAGAAGCAGACAAGGAAATGCTTCTATAATCACTGAAAGAGACATTCTAAAAATATTTTTTTTAACTTTAAGATATTACTCTTTCAAACCCTACTGATTTTATTTTAAAAACATATATTCCAATAAATTAAAAAAAATATTATCATTAAATTTAATTTCTACAAAAATAATAAATTATCATTCAACTCAATTTCTAATGACACTGCTAAATATCGGAAGCGTGGGTAAATTGTGTGAATTGGCTGAGGAGAGGAAGATACGATGCATGAAATGGGTGAGAGAGACGTGAAAGAGACGTTTCCTTTTAAGCTCAGACAATGTCTATGAATCCTTTGTTTTCTGCTTCTTCTCTTCCAAAACTGGTTCATTCACGTCACCATTACATAATCCTTCTAATTAAACACAAATGAAACAAGACATACTTGTTGCAGATATTTGTGCAATAAGTCTTTCAATGCTTCCTCTATGCCCTCACTATTATTATCAACTGATAAAATATGCTACTCAACCCCTTCAATACCAATAATTATGTTTTTCTTTTAATCCAAGTACGAGAAACGTTAGTTAAAATTTCATGTTATAAACGCATTTATTCTTTGTTTTATTTTAATAATACCATCTCACAGTAATCAACATCTATTTTTGGTTTATTTATTTTTTATTATCAATTTATATTACCAGTTTTTTTTTGCTGTCATCTGATTTAGATGTTTTCTGTGCCCAGCATTATGAATAACATGAAATTGATACCTAGACTTCACACGTCAAATCTCACCACACCCTAGACATTGGATTAAGGTGCTATTAGTTATCAAATTAACAGTGTCAAAATCTTTTTTTTTTTTTTTCAGAATTGCACTCTAATAGTAGTTTTTTACATTATTCTAATTTATTATACTAATTATAATATTAATTGGGATGCATCTTAGTTGCCTTTAATTTATTTTGATCCACTTTCAACAACAACAAAATCATGAAATGAGATTGTTTAAATTGATAAGTATGAATAGATTTACATTTGTCTCGGCTACTTAATTTACTCATCCAGTCTATAAAGAGAAATCTTTGAAAAATCACACTTTATTTATTTATTAAATTATCAATTTAACTTTATAAATAATGATAATAAATATAAGACTACTGTACTTTTATGTTAGAAGTGGTATGACAAGAAGTTATTGTTAACATTATTATACATACTTTATGTTGCAAGTGACATGACAAATGATAAAAGTTATTAATGATACAAATTAAAATGTATTTTAATTTTATTATATAAAACATAAAAAAAGTTATATTTTAATTTATTTTCAATTATTTTTATAGCTTTAAAATGTTATAAAAATAAAATAAATTATAAATATGTGTATAAATTTTCACAAATTTATTATCAATTAATATATTTTTTTATTATTTACTTATTTTTATATATTTTCTATAATAATTATTTAATATTAAATTTTATATCAAATTAAATTTACTTTTTTTTTATTAAAATTTATAATAGAAATATTTTATTCATTCATTAATTTATCCTATTATTTTATTTCTTTAATCAAACTTAATATTTATAAATATTTTCTTTTACTTTTCATTCTCTTTTCCTTAATTCAAACCATTATAGTTTTCCTTTTCTTTCTCTCAAACACAATTTTT